TTAGTTAGTTTTTGGAATTAGAAGTATCAAAAAGCAAACTATATGGAGTTCTTGAATAAATCAATCATCGAAAAAAAAGCCACCTCAAATCCAAACAGCTCACCTCAATTTAAAGGAAAGGCTACGCTTTCCACCAAATATTTAATAGCTACAATAAAACCAAAGAGGTGAAACAGAAAAAGAAGAAAGGCTATCGGCTGAACATGGAGGCATAACTATGGTGATGGTTGTTTGGATAGTTATTCTCTTTATTAAGCAATCATTTATTGTTCAGGTAATGATTAGGTCAATTAATTGTAATTAAAATCCAATTATGTAAACATCAATTAATTCCTTAACGGATGAGAAAGGCTTCAGGAAATTGAAAGGTTTGAATGTTAGTATAATAATGATTAAAAGGCCTTTTATGTAATTTTATCAAAACACAAGCTTAATTCAATTGTACCTGATACTCAACTTGACACCAAATATTGTCACTTACCAAATCTACCCCTAACCTTAAATGTCTGAAAGGTTATATAAGTAATTATAGCAAAATTAAAGCTGTAATAACTTGTACCTAATGCGTCAATCATATTTCAAACACTCTCACATTCCCAAAATAACCCCACCCTTGCGGTTGAAATCCAAAATCTATCTTTGCCTTAAACTCGTTCTTATATAGTATAAGGAAACGATCCAAAGTAGGATCTCGATTTAAAAATATTGATTTCAACCACCTTCCACCTCACTCCTTTCATCCCTACCACCTCATCCCCCGTTTGCTTCCAATAGCACTCCTTCCTACCCTCTACTCTCCTCTCGTTTTCCATCTCTCTCCTCTTCTCTTTTCTTTCGCCTATCTCCTCCATGTTCCTTTTCCCCTCTTATTCTCTCATCTCTTGTCATTTTCCTTCCACCCCTCCCCTTTTTCCTTGCAATTAGACATGGTTGCGAGAAATGAAGGGAAAAAGTGGGAGAGAAAGAAGGAGAGGAAAGTGAAGAAGTGAGAGGGAAAGGGCAATGGTAGGAAAGAATAAGGAGCAAGAAGAATAAGGGGAAGCTAAGGAAGGGAATGAAAGGATAGTGGTAGAGGGAGAAAGGGACGGTGATTTCTTTTTTTTTTTTTGTTATTTTTTGGCATTTTTTGATAGGTGTATTTGAGATGTATTTAAAATGTATTTGAAATGACTAACTATGTGTTGCTGGATTATTGCCTTTTGGCAATGATGTTATACATACATTTAGAGTGACACCTGTGAAAAGCATCCTAAAAATATCTCAAGAACATCAAAATAATAATTTAAAACACACAAACCAATAATTCAAAAATACATCACACTTCTTTCTCATACCAATCACCAATCTCCCTCTATCCCTTATTATCAAAATCCTGGCAACTCAGCCTATTTTCTCTTCCCCTTCCTCTTTTCTTCCTTTTTCCTATGCCGCTTTTCATTTCTACCTTTTCCTTAATCTTTTCCTGTATCACCCTCCATTTTCTTTCTTCTCCCACATCCTTCATCGCTCCTTATTTTTCTTCCTTCCCACACTCTTGTATAACTAGATCGGGAGAGGGAAAAAAGTGTAATGGGTGAAACGTAAGAGGAAAGGAAAAAATAAGGAGAGAGAAAAGAAATGGGAAAGGAAGAGAAATTGGGAAAGAGGGAAATGACAAGTGAATGAAGGGAGATGGGAGAAGGATGGAGAGGAATGATGAAGAGGAGGGGTAGGAGAAGGAGCAAGGAGAGGGTCGAGATATGGGAAAGTAATTTCACTATCACTTTGAAAAACATTCATTTTTACCAAACACATTAAAATCACTTCTAAAACACCCTATATAAGTGTTTTAGTTATACACAAATCTATCATTTAAGTTTTATAAAAGGGATAATTTCAGAAACCTCTATTGAGTCTTCTAACAATTGTACTTGCTTATTATCAACTTCTGAAAATCTTACTTAGCTCCCTTATTTAAAACTATTATGTAACATGTCAGCCCAAATAAAAATTTTGAATAGAAAAATAATTTTGGAGAGAGAATGTAATTTAGTGGAAAAAAATGCCCTTTCTAATCATTGCAACTATTTATTTTGATAAATTATTAAATGAATTAAATCTTGGCAGACAAAAACCAAAAGTCTGAACATAAATTTAGAAAAGTATGTAGCAGATGAATTAATGAAGTTAAACTGATCAAACTAATCAATGGCTAAGTTTGCAAAGTAATTCAACTACATACAAAGACCAAAAGCAAAAGACCTAAAAAAAAATTAAATGATATAGGATACTTTTTTTATGGTACGTAATTATTAGAAAAGTGTGCCCTTTGGGGGAGAAATTCCATCAATCTACTGAAAACAATTGGCCAATTTTCTGTTTAATCTTCAAATACGCTCCAATAGTGGTTTTTAAGGAATTGTTAAATTAATATTATCAAGATTGTGGATATAATAGTCATTTTGCCCGACATTATCTCAGTAATAGGTCCCAATTCTCAGCTAGGAAAGGTGCATGAGATTTTCAAAAGTTGAAGGGAGGCAAGTAAATTTGTCAAAAACTCATGGGATATTTCTAAACTTATCCCTTTTCAAAAACATCTCTAAAAAAACTCTCATCCAAACAGAGAGTAAAACACCTCAATGACCAACTGGGGTTGGTCCAAGTGGTAAGCAGCTTGGTTCCGCTTAAGCAGGTCTCGGGTTCGAAACCTGGCGTATGCAGCTACCCTTGTTGGGAGACTCACCCACCACAGCCAGGTGTGCAACCCGGGTCGACCAACGGATTAGTCAGGGCAAAGCCCTGGATACCGTGGCAGGCAACCAAAAAAAAAAACACCTCAATGCAAAAAAGAATGATTTCAAGCAAACAAAGTTTTTGTTTATCATATGCTCCAATTTTTTGTTAAAATGCCTAAAATGAAAAATCATCTTATTACAAGAATTTGTTACAACAAATGTAAAAAAGTAAATGTCATCACTATTAGAGTACAAAAGTAATAGTAATCATAAATTTAATCCACTGATTATATAAAAATGGCACAAAATTATTTTCTTCATAAACTAGCTTTCACCCAATTCCTGGTAGGGAAATTTTATATTTTGTCATGCTTATGAAGAAATTGAAACTAAGAAATACATTGTGATAAGTGAAAGCATAAATGTATAGAGAGAAGTGAATCAAATTGAGTAATAACTAATAACTTGAAAATATCAAGATTATAGCAATGATTCATGTATCTCACGTATTGAATAATTTTTTCCTTCGGTAATAATAATAGATTCACGATGAGAGATAAAAGAATAAGTACATGTAGTTTTTAGCTTTTCTCTCTCTTCCATACATTTTCCCTTGTTTTTTGTATCATTTATTTGTTACAAAAGGAAAGTAACTCAAAAAATGGAAGTCTAATTAGCAAGAAAGGGGGGGGGGGAATAGTCTATAGATGTAGTGACAAAGTAGCCCTCTAGACTAATTTTCCAATTAAATCTCTACCTATGTAAGCAAAAATATTGCAACAAAATTACGCATATATTCAAACCAAAATATTACAAATATTTAGCATTCATGATCCTTTCTCAAGTGACGTTAATAAAAAAGCATCAATCAAATTAGATATAAAAGTTTTCCAGTCGACATCGCCATTGATGCGGTCATGGAAATGTAGATTTTGGATTTGTTTCATGAATGAAATCCATAGAAGAACAAAGGGTCGTATCAACGACCTTTTTCCCCCACAAATATAATGGCATAATTCTTTAAAAAAAGAGTAGATGATCAAACTTTATATACCAAAGTAGCACAGGAACATTGGAAATAAAGAAAGATTGATATTCTACTTATTTAAAAAAAAAACATGAATCATATTTACCTATTTAATGGCAATGCAACAATACCTGTGCGACGAAAGTGAGACACTGGAAGAAAAAGGAAAAAAGACAAAACATTGGCTACCCATCAGGCAAGTGAGAGATGATATGATTTAATGATTGAAAAAAAATGCAAAAATTTTTATATGTGCACTGTAGTGTCTTAGCCGAGACGTTACAGGGGTCTTAGCTATAGATTTATTACAAAAATACTTACTATTTACTCATGATTTCTATTTTTTTTCATGTAGGGTATTTTAACTTTTCGATCAAACTAATACCCTATGAGTATTTTTTTTTCACCTAGGAGTATCCCATTGACAAATTCCCTGCCAAACCAATGACCCTACAAAATCGAATTGCTCTCCTCAAAAAGGATACTAGAGCAATCAGAGCTAAACAAAAATTTAACAGTCTTAGTCTTCACAAAATTCCTACAAATACAAACCAAAATACTCAGGATGATAAAAATCATCTTGTAATTATGTAATCAAACCTTATGTGATACCAAAACAGACCTATGCTATCGAACCTTATTCTAGTCCAATCCTTTGAAAATTCAAAATTCCATCCTTATATCTTTTGCACATTCAGGACACCTCTTCTTAAAAAAAATACTTGTTAGAAATATCCTCGCTCTTTTATCCAACCATTGATAAAGACATAACACTCCTTCCTACTCTCTTTTCACCTAGGGTATCCCATAATCTCCTAATAGTGTTTTTTTTTTTTTTTTTATCTAGGAGGATTCCAATCTTTCGATTAGACTGATCCTCTAAAAATGTGTAGTGTCTTACCCCAAAGATACACAACGAGGTAGCACCCGAGGATCAATCACAGGATCTGCTGGTAACTATAAGAGTATGGAACTAGTCAGACTACTTGCAACTTCTACTTAGAATATGTATTTTGTTTTGTTGAGTTACAAGATAGACTGTCCCTGAACATAGATTAAAGTACAAGTTGTACGTTTATCATTTGACGTGTGAAATTGATGATATGTTTTGCTACTTTAAAGTGTGAAATCGAAACATTTTCCATTTGAAGGGACCAAACTCAGAGTTCAGACCATTTTTCAAGGACCAAAATGTAATTAAGCTAATACATTTTTTTTTGGGGCCAAGAGAAGAAACTAATTTACTAACGACCAGTTGAACCAGGTCGAATTCTGATCTTTCGCTCCTTCTGATCTCTGCTCCTCTTCTGATAAACCCCAAATCATGGCGGTAAACTTTCTCAGATCCTTTCGCCTCTTCATTTTCCTCGACAAGAAATGGAAATAAACCTCTGAAAACTGAAAATACACTTCAAATTTCACTGATTTCATGATATATACTATGATTTGTTCGTCAAATTAGTTTCTAATTTCAGAATCGTTAAAAAAAACGTGTGCAGGATTCTTCGGGGACGACGCTGATGGATCTGATCACGTCGGACCAACCGTCGTCGACAGTACCGTCGTCGGCGGCGTCAACTACTGCTTCCTCGACAGCACCGCCGCCCCAAACTACGACAGCAAATATTGGGGCGCCGATTCCGATGGTGGTGGATAAGAAATCGAAGAAAGGAACGTTAATGCAGATCCAAAGCGATACGATTTCCGCTGCCAAAGCTGCTCTTAACCCTGTCAGAGCTAACATTATGCCGCAAAAGCAAAAGAAAAGGGTATAGAAATGCTCATTCCGCAAAAGTTGTGGTTTTTTTTTTTAAGTTTCTCTTGTAATTTTGTTGGAAGTGAACTTTTATTTGGAGGTGAAAAAAAAGGAGTAAAACTTCTGCTTTAATACTTTGGGCATTGATAAGTGAGTTGCATATTCTATCGTTCTGAATTTTAGTTGTTGATGTTGGAATTTTAGATAAGTGTACTAATTTAGCTTACAATTGCTTGCTTGGTTATTCGCTAAGCATAGTTAGGTGAAATTCTGTGAGTTTGTTGGGATTTATTTCAATTTTTTAGATTCATTGAACAATATGAGTAGAGAATCAATGCTGTGATTAAGCTTGTGTTATGTTGTTAGTAATGCCTGTTTTATTCTTTTGTTTCAGCCTGTTTCTTATGCACAATTGGCCAGGAGCATTCATGAATTAGCAGCGACCTCTGATCAAGTATGCTGGTCTCTAATCTATTTTGACATGGAAAACTCGTGTATATTTTTCCGGGTTAAGTTTAATGAAAATGTTCTGTTTTTTGTTTGAATTGTTTGTAGAAAAGTTCCCAGAGGCAATTGGTCCATCATGTGTTTCCCAAACTGGCTGTCTACAACTCTGTTGATCCATCTTTGGCACCATCTCTTCTCATGGTATGAAGCCAGATTATTAATGTGCCTGCAACTTTTGGATCCTTGTGCAGCTTGTTTTGGAGTATTAAGCATGATATACTGAACATGTGTGATAGGGTAAAGGACATTTCTGAGTCATTGTGCAAGCAAATTGCTGTATGTGCCAGAATTGATATTCTGTGGCATTTTAGACAATTACAAAATAGTACTAACTACAACAATAGGTCATTTGATTGCTAGTTTAAACATATTTGTATCTGTAAAAAGTTAGTTGAGAATATCAGGAGAGATGATCAGTGTGATTTTTGATGTCGGCATATGGCTTACTGCAGTTGAATTGTGCACATTATGAACTTGAAATAGTTAAATAGCAGCAGGGATGCACTAAATTTGAGTTTTCTAGATTTTAAAGTGCCAATAGGAGTTTCATTTGTCATAATCATGCCTTGCTCTTAGCAATTAGTACAGAGATGCAAAGTGTTGGAGCATGAGATAGATTACTGGTATCCTATATTTGTGATAAATCAATGACCTTCATAAATCTAATAAGCTTTAGGGACATTCAATTCAATTTATGTAGAATGACTGTCCAAAGATGGGAATTGTTTGGTGACTAGTTGGTAATCAGATCTTTATTGGGCAAGAAGTTCATGTTGGTGGCATTGGCATCACAAACTGGACTTACTGTGATTTAGAGGAAGAGACTTTGATGGGATACTATATTAGTTTGAGGACAATTACCTGTAGAGTAGTGCAATAGTTTAATCCTTCTTTTTCAGAGCCTTGAGAACTTAAAACATTTTAGAAGAGTGTAAACTAAGAAAAATGGAGAGAAAAAATACTTTTCTTCTATTTCACTTTGGACTACACAATATACAAATATATATATACACAAGTGGATACTATAATCATATGATACTATAATCATACTATTACCTAATTAATATATGATACTATAATCATATGATACCTAATTAATATATGATACTATAATCAAATCTTTCCTAATATTTATATTATCAAATCTTTCCATAATATCAGATCACATATCTTCAACACTCCCCCTCAAGCTGGTGAATATAGATCTTCCATTCCCAGCTTGGCAACACTTTCATGAAACATGTTGCTACACAGTCCCTTTGTCATCACATCTGCAAGTTGAAGTCCTGTCGGAACATATGGAGTACAAATCAGTCCACTTTCTAGCTTCTCTTTAATAAAGTGCCTGTCTATCTCTATGTGCTTCGTCCGATCATGTTGCACTGGGTTGTGAGCTATACTTATAGCAGATTTGTTATCACAATATAGCTTCATCGGTTTGCTCCATTGAATCCTCAAGTCTTCTAGGATAATTTTAACCCACAATAATTCACATACCCCTGCTGCCATAGCCCTGAACTCTGCTTCAGCACTTGACCTTGCTACCACACTTTGTTTCTTGCTTCTCCAGGATATTAAGTTTCCTCCAAGAAATGTACAATATCCTGAAGTTGATCGCCTGTCAACTGGAGACCCTGCAAAGTCTGCATCTGTGTAAACTGCCAGATCAATTTCAGGACCCTTTTTGAATAAAATTCCCTTCCCTGGATGTGCCTTTAAGTAATGAAGCACTCGATAAACTGCTTGTAGATGAACTGCTCTAGGATCATGCATAAACTGACTAATAACACTGACTGAGTAAGCTATATCTGGCCTAGTATGTGCGAGATAAATGAGTTTCCCAACAAGTCTTTGGTACATCTCTCTGTCCACAGCTGTATCTCCATGAGCCTCACTTAATTTGTGATTCTGCTCAATGGGAGTTCCAACTGGTTTGCTTGCTGTCATGCCTGTTTCCTTGAGCAGGTCCATAACATACTTCTGTTGAGAAATAAAAATTCCCTGCCTTGATCGAGCCACTTCAATTCCCAGAAAATACTTCAATTTTCCTAAATCCTTTATTTCAAATTCCTTGGCTAGGCACCACTTCAAAGTTTTCTTCTCTACTTCATCGTTTCCTGTCACTATGATGTCATCTACGTATACAATCAAAACAGTAACTCCCCCCAAGGCTGAATGCTTGATGAACAGGGTATGATCTCCTTGACTTTGCTTGTAACCATTAGCTATCATTACCTTGGCAAATCGTCCAAACCAAGCACGTGGGGATTGTTTCAGCCCATATAATGCCTTTTTTAACCGACAAACCTTGTTCTTGTCAACCCCACTGAATCCCGGTGGAATGCTCATATAAATCTCCTCTTCCAACTCTCCATGAAGAAAAGCATTCTTCACATCGTATTGCTGTAATTCCCAATCAAAATTAACAGCCAAGGATAGCAGAATTCTCACTGTATTCATCTTTGCTACTGGAGCAAATGTTTCCCGATAATCTACTCCATATGTCTGTGTGTATCCTTTCGCGACTAACCTTGCCTTGTAGCGTTCTAGGGACCCATCTGCTTTAAACTTTACTGCATACACCCATTTACAGCCCACTACTTTCTTGTTCTTTGGTAAATCAACTAATTCCCAGGTCCCATTCTTCTCTAATGCATCCATTTCTACTTCCATAGCAAGTCTCCATTCTTTCTTTGATAATGCTTCAGACAATGAGCTAGGAATAGATAATTATGATGATCAAAGAATGTAAAATACCCTTCTAAATTAAACCACACTATTTGAAGTTTAATTCTCCCATTAATCACAGAAGAACTCTTTCTTGCAAGAGAATATATATCAATGCCATTGCAGTGTTCAACAATTAGCCGCTAAAACAAAGGAATGCATGCAAGTCTGCTCAATTTCAAAGGCATAAATAATTGTAGAACTCAACACTATTATATTAACAATAAAAGAAAGTATTTACCAAAGAATATGGATTAAAAAGTACATCTCCTATTTAAACTTAACAAATGGTGAATTAAGAACCATTTTTCGTGAAGGGGTGTATTATAAACCTAACTTTGTAATAATAGTTGCTAAGTGCTCCTCTTCACAGTTTTTCCGATAGACAAACCCATATCTATTTCCAGTCCATCATTTCCTTTATCATTCTCAAAGTACAAACTGTAACATGTATTCTTTTTTTTTTTTTTGCTTCTTCTTCTTGAAAGCTATATAGCTTAATTGTGAAGGAAAATATTAACCATGCATTTACACGTCTTCTATAAAAAGCATCAATTATTTTTTGATTCCAGGTTATCTTTTTTCTCCCCAAATTGGCTTTACTAGTTTCTAGTGTATATAGTAGTTGCACAAATGTGACCTGCACAAATTGTCTTGTTTCTAGATTTTAAAGGCAAGCAATAAATCCGGCATCTGTGATAATGTAGAACTTTAGGAGGACTTTTAATGTAGAACTTTACTAGTCTTGTACCCCTTGCCCTTGAAACTCAACTCCTAATTCCGCCGGTGCATGGAATGATTCCCACTATGTACACCAAACAATAGGTGTGGTTATAATTGATTTTGATACTCATTCCTGATTTTCATGTCCATCTAACAAACACCACTTAACTCCATGAAGTTGAAGCCATTTTGTCCCAGTGTCATTTTCAACATATATAAACAGAAAAAGAAGCTGCATCTGGTGATGAAAAGATGACCATACCTAGTAGTCATAGGCACTTAATATGATATACCCAGTAATCATAGGCACTTGATGTGGTAAAATTTCTGGTGAAAAGAGGAATTCAACTGGGAGCTGGGATGGATAAAAGTATGTACTAGCAATCTACTGCTAGAAGACTCCTTGTTCGGAGTACAGTGATTTTTCGGAGAAAAATTCTTACGTTTGTTGTGAATGTTCCTTTTACATATATTTCAATTAATTTTTTATCACCCATACGTTGCGTCCTAAAAAATATTACAGTAATTGTTTCTCCAAAGATTCCCCAGAAAATGCAATCCAATTGGGCTCTTTTTTTTTTAATTTTCTTTAAAACTTCTCTTGGCAATTCAATACTTCACGATAAGTATCACTCGTACGCATTTTCAGAATTTGATAATGAATGGCAATGTTGCAAAAGGCTTATGATGGGACCAACCAACGAAGCCAACTGTCCAACATTCATAAGCTTTCCCAAATCCGCCAAAGTCAATTTTACATAAAGAACAAAGGTAAACTCTTCAGTGAACAATCAACCACCATGAATAATCATTTGGTATTCATTTTTCTTTCCAGAAAATGATATGATTTTAAGTAAAACAACATGCACAAGATGCGGTAATAACCCAAATTGGAATTATAACTCCCAACTGGAAGACATGAACATCCTATTTGTGGGATTTAAAAATAAATTGTTTTCAACACTAAATTAAGGCCCAATTAATTGGCTTATTTCAGTGCATAATTAATTCTAAGAAAGTAAGGTTTTTGAGGCTTCTTTCCCTCTAAATTTTCTTCTTCCTAATCCCTGCCACCATTGGGATTGAATTTGGAGTACAAATTTCAATAAATAAAACAATTATTATATTTTTACATGGTGTTATCTTAGTGTTTATATTGAATTATTGATTAGTTTAGTCTACTGTATAGTGCAGTTGCCAGAAGTCCTAGATCCCAAGCAAACTTTTCAAAGAGTCATCTATGTCAAATATCATCGCTCTAGGACACTCCATTTATTCTAGTACTTGTTAATTTAGACTGGAGTCCATTGGATTATCTTTCCCCATTGAAATGGGGACACTCTATTGTACTCTTTTGGAAAGGACTCTCACAATAAATTGTATAGAAAAGCTTCAAGACAAGGGACTTTATGTTCTTACCAATAAAGGGGGGTAATTTTGTCAAGATGTCATGTGCAAATATTACACATGATTTTTTTCGAACGGTCTGCCTAACGGGTGCCATAAAGTACTTGTTAAAATATATTTCAGATATTATATTTTTAAAAATATAAGATTAATTATAAAAAGTAAATAAATACAAAGGAAGATAGACAAAATTAAATAGGAAAAGTATATAAATGCAAGAGAGGATAATAATTGTTAGTATGCATCTATAGATAGTAGGATAGGTGAATATTAGGTGTGTTAACGAGTATCTTAAGAACACCCGT